TATTGTTGTTATCATTTACTTTCTATCACCCTGGCATTGTTTTGTTTACTATATTGTCATGTATATGTTGTTGAAAACATAATAAAAAATAAATATTAGTTTGATTATGATATATATATATATATATATATATATATATATATATATATATATATATATATATATATATATATATATATATATATATATATATATATATATATATATATATATATATATATATATATATATATATATATATATATATATATAGATAGATATATATGTCTACACATATATAAATCAATTTCACTTTATTTTAATATATGCGTATTTATATCCATAGATCGCTGTTCAGTAAAATATTCACTCGGGAACGAGTTGGTCGCTCACGCACGCAATCGTGAACGCGCAGACACTGAAATCAAGCGATCCTCGTCGAGAGGTGCTGTAAATTATGTTTTATTGCTGAGATTGAGCAAACATGTTTACAGGAGAACTTTAATTCACTGCACAGCGACTCTGATTACAGATTTCAGCTCAGCTGCGTCACGAGTTAAAAGCTCGTGAAAAACATCCGCCACAAACACTCTAAACAGAGCAGATACAGACATACAGGATCCCAAAGCACATGCAGGGGTTTACATTTAATCAAAAGACATGCAGGGGCGTATTTAAGTGGTTTTACCTTGAGTATAATCGCTGGACACGGGGCAGACAGTAAATACGCCACATATCTCTTCTTCTTCTGGTTGTGTGTTGAGTTAGAGAGCAGAGTGAATCTGCACACCGCCACCTGCTGTAGGTCTGCTGGAGAGAGTAACATCGGGGCTTCATGGAGCTCAATGTAGATTTTTTTGGAAAATCCCAGATTCATTCAGAAACGAAACGACTGCTTTCACTGCCTGCTAATCTCGCGGAGCTTCAGTCTAACGGCTGAAGAGGCTCGTTTGAGATCCGCCCTGCCTTGCCTGTAATGGGGACGAGAGCAGGCGGCTGAGCAGGACTAAAAATAGACATTAGAAGTAGGACACTTCCCGTGTGTGTGGGTGTGTTTGTTTACTCCATTCACCTCTTTTCTAAGATGAAACCACACAATGACGAGGCAACGATGACGGCAAAGTCTGATTACCTTTGCATGTGTGCATATGTATGCATGTCTGTATATTTTATTGGATTGACTTTTATGGAATAACGCTGCATGAGAATTACAATCTACAAAATTCACCAAAACATACAAAAAAGTGAAAACAACAAACAGGACTTTAAATAAAGAGAGGAATCATATACAGCACATGCACATCCTAATGATTTATTTGCAACGAGTTATATTATGTTTTACAAAGATGTGTTTTGTTTTTATGTTAATCTAAATAAATAAATGTAGTCAAAGTCTGTAGCTCTTTTTTTATATAAATTATCTATATTAAAATACAAAGATATGTATTTAGAATACAAAAAGTATGAAGTATACAACAAAGCTACGTGTAAACCTTTGTAAAAAAATAAAAAAAGAAGTCTCATACAATAAGCATTAAGGCTGATTTATACTTCTGCCTCGAGTGATCAACTAAACCCTTACCCAACTATGAAACAACAAATACATTAAGCAACAACTGTCCCTTTAGTTTCATCTTCAAACATTTTAGTCATACAAAATCTGCAGAAATTCACATTTGGTCTAAGCCACAGGGGGGCCACCCAGTGGTGGCAGGGCCCTAGCAGCCACATGGTTGTGGGGTTGCAAGCTGAGATGCATGCAATGCTCAAACTTAACTCCGCATAGTTGAATCTTAAGACTAAAAAATCACAAACCAAGAGCCAGTTTCTGTGTCCGACCATCAGGTTGTCGTGGTCCTAACCTTCAATACCACCCATTCCACAATGCACCGGCCCCTTACGACTCACCCTGATGGTGGTGGGCCCGCAGGAGGATGGTCCCACGTCGCTTCTTCAGGCTAAGCAGGGTGAGGAGCTTTGTCACCTGGGAGGAGCTCAGAGTAGAGCCGCTGCTCCTCCACATCGAGAGAAGTCAGCTGAGGTGGCTCAGGCATCTGTTTCGATGCCTCCAGGAGGCCTACCTAGGGAGGTGTTCCAGGCATGTCCCACCAAGAGGAGGCCTAGGGGAAGGCTGGAGGGACTATGTCTCTCGGTGGGCCTGGGAATGCCTCGGGATCCCCCAGGAGGAGCTGGAGGAAGTGTCTGGGAAGAGGAAAGTTTGGGGTTCTCTTCTATGACTGCTGCAGCTACGACCCGGCCCCAGATAAGTGGATGAAAATGACATGTCTTATTGTAAATGTTGGTGAATAGTTCATGCTTGTAACTAATCTCTCTTTCTGAGCCGTTCAGAGTCTTTTCTATTTCCGTCATGTTTTCTCCTGATGATTTTGACTGCGTGTCTGTTCCTGAAGTACATAAAAAAAACTTCATGCTTCACTCATGCTCATCAAATAAAAATAGATGCAATAAACATGAACACTTGGCTTCTTTATATTAAACTACTTCGAAAAGCAGTCAGACAATTAATATGTGCAAATGAATCCATCTGAAAAAGCTGTGGTCAGTTTGGCGCTTCACCTTCACGCTTCACGCCCCTCTGAACATTATTTTGCCACTACAAAAAAAAGATGCGCAAAATGCCCCGCCCCCTACTTAATATTCAGTTTCGGTTGGGAGTACATCAATGTACTGAAATCTAAGCAACTTAGATTTATGCAGACTTATGTGTAAGTTTAGTTACACCTGCCACGCATACTCCTAAAAAATTAGCATGTTAGTTTAGATTAGATGGGCTAAAAGCTGACTTTTGTAAATGGAGGTACAGCTTTCCACAATCTCTGACTGCTCTTCTGGACTATTGCGTATCTTTCCCTGATTCATCTAGCTACTCTCATTTGTACAATACACAATCAGTAGATGGAAAGTACAGATGAAGACACAGTATGCGAGTGTGAATGGTCATGTTTCATGCATTTCAGGCTTCAAAATGTGGACAGAAATGAAAATACACCAGTCAGAACAAAGAGTGTTTTCAGTCTACATAGTGTAAATAAGATTTTATTTTAATTCACTAAATCAAAACTAAGCCGAGGAATCAAAGATGCACTATGTTGGATTTACTAGTGGTTGAACTAGGTACTGCAGTCCACATTANAAAAAAAATAATAATAATTATATATATATATATATATATATATATATATATATATATATATATATATATATATATATATATATATAT